GGGGGGGGCTGGGTGTGGGATAGAGGAAAAACTAAATATGTGTTTAGGAGGTATTCTCTGATTGGTCTGCCAAATGAAAGTGAGTGTAGCACTAGCACTAAGATAGGAATGATTTTATTTTTGAGTAGAAATGTCTTGCTTCAGATACTCTATGCAACATCAGTCTGCACCTGTAGCAGCACTCTGACCCCCGTCAACTCCTTCCCTTCATGGACATATGTACCCTATCTCAGAATACTGACTGTTAAAGCAGAGTGGATGTGGTCCGAAGGAGATGGGAAGACCTCCATTTCGCATGAATCTAAAGATGAAGTGCTTTTCTACATTTTCAGTGAACACAGAAAGATTACAATAAAAACGAAAGTGTATTAAGAATGGCAATACCTTCTGATGCTTTGGGCTGTTTTTTTACATATTCTTCAATCTTTGCCAAAATTTCTGCAAACTTAAAAACAAATGCCAATTATCATCTGGTAAATTAAACATGTTAACAATATCATAAAGGAAGAGCAACAGTCAGTTAAAGCTCAACTCTAGCCAGACATAAAACACAAAATGAATGTAATTCTGTTTTGATGAACACATTTAAATATGTTTTATAAAAGGCAAATTGTGTAAGTACCCGAAATTGAATTTTTTTCAGCCTTTTGCAGATACCTGTATATAAAAAGGCTAAGATTTGGGAGACGCAGCACAAGTTGTAGTTGAACAAGGAGCAGAGCCGAGCTCATGAGTCTGCTGCTTCTACTTCCGACGTCAAGTCACGGAGTGGGGAAAGACCTGTAAATATTACTTGACTGCAGCAGAGAAATCAGGTCTCCAACTCTGCTAGACATGACTGTGTGGTGGCCAGAGCTGAGAATCTCAGAATTTTATGAGAATATATAATAAAACAGATGCCTGAAAATAACCATTATGACAAAGTACACAATTTAGCTTCATGTCTCATGCCTTGATATTTACAGCCTTTTCTGCTAGGTGAGCTTTTGAAAACCACATGGAATTCAGCCTAAAATCACATAATTGCTGGATGTACATCTGCACTTTGTGTAAGAGTGTGTGGGAGACCTTTATCAAACAAATGAAAGACACAGCTAGGCACTAGTCAGTGTGTCTAATTTAGCAAAATCTATGCAACAGTTTTCAGTGCATTTGTAACCCACGTGCTTGTCATCCTGTGCAGCAAGTAAGAAGTGGTCAGGGTTAGGTTTCATTCTGTAGCAGTGTTTCCGCAGCAGCAGAGGTAGGAATCTATGAGCTGTAACTGTATTAAATCTATCCTCACCGCTACTGTTTAGCATTGACTTGCTGTGTGACAGATTTTTTACTTGTCCCCAAATGTGCGCTCATGGATATATGCATGATCTCAGAAGCATGTTGCTGGAAGACTGCACTTTCCCACACATGGTGCTCTATAATTTATTGCTGGGATTCCTCTATAGCTGATGGTACATTGTGCTGTATATTTGTACCATCAGCTATAGAGGAATATAAATCCCAGCAATACATTATACGCTGTATGTATAATATACTGCTGGGATTTGTTGTATTCCTATTATAGCTGGGTGGTATTCTGCATTGCTCTGTATAGAGGACTACAAATCCCAGCAATAATACATTATACAGCGCAATGCAGAATACCACCAGCTATAATGTACTATTGCTGGGATTTGTTGTATTCCTCTATAGCTGGTGATATTCTGCATTGTGCTGTAGAATGCACTATTGCTGGGTTTTGTAGTCCTTTATAGCCAGTGCCATTCTGCATTCATTGCTGTATAATTTTACACAATTTTATTTCCACCGCTCCAAGCTTGCTCCTGTGATGGACTACAATCTCAATACAAACTAGTAGTCCATCACTGCAGATCTTTTTAAAATTAATTTAATTTTGTATCCGATTAATCGAACTTAATAATCGGCTAACTAATCAATTTTGAAAATAATCGTTAACTGCAGCTCTAGCACAAACCAATTCACAGAGCATAGCATGCTTTCAATTTTTATACCTAGAAATTCTAAAGAAAATTGGCTTTCTTCCTGCCCAAAATGTGCCACAAAACTACCTGATATGTCTAATTTATTTTGGTCTGGTCCACTCATCCAAACATTTTGGTCCCAAACACTGTCCTACATACAATCAATTACAGGCTTCACAAGGGAGCTACATCCTCTAACATGTCTATTCCACGATGCTCCTCAAGACCCTACACCTCAAAATATGCATTTACTTTGCTGGGAACATTTTTGCTTGTTAGGAGCAAAGAAAATGCATCCCACGACATTGGATCTTGGCTACAACCCCAGACCTCTCAGATCTGAAGCCTATAATGTCTAAACTTTTGCTCATGGATATACTAGAAACAACATTTCACCCCCCTTTCACACAGTCACCTTTTGGTAGCTGGAATGACTATATAACCACGGATCTTACTGTGCAACAACAATCAGAATTAAAAACTATACTTCAAAATTCTACTTGACATACATCAACACATAACACAGCACCCGCAACCTATCTAAATTTGGCTTAAAGGGCTTCCACACACCCGCTACACAACCTCACACATTCTTTCCCTTACCATTGACACTCTTCTTTATCAGATGCATCCATGGGGATGTTCATAGCAACAGCACCCTACGACTACAATTGCTCCAGGGAGTGCTCATAAAATCGCTGAGAGCGAGTCAGACAGAGATAAAGCTGACACCTCGCAATAGGTCCTTAAAAGCACAGTCTCGGCTTACGTTTTTTTTATAGTGAGTGAGTTACAACTTTCTCTCTCAAGGGCAATTTCCAGCACTGACCAATTAAAACTCTGATAAACACCTCATGAAAATAAGATTGTCAAAAGCATTTTTGCAATTAGTATAATAGATTGATCATTTTACTTTAGTGCTGAAAACTACAAAAAAAAAAGTGCTACTTAGACTTACCTGTTTACTGTCCAATAATTTGGCTATACTTTTCACAGACTCTGCATTCAGGTCTACTTGCATCTCCTCCTGCACCTCCTCAATTGTCTCCAAGTCTTCTTCATCTATTAGGTGTTCCTCTTCTTCCTCAGCTGCCTCCTCCAGGTCAGCTAGCAATTCATCAGCCAAAGACATGCTTTACCACTGATAAGAGGTCTACAGTCCTAATATAATATGAAAAAGCACATGTTATATTTTAAAACTGGAGAGAAAGCAAATTGTATGTCTAGTCCAAGGTAACTAAGCAGGTTTGATGTTTAATTACCTTGTTCCTACAATGAAACAGAATTGGTTGCTATACACAGCAAAAACAGTCTGGTATTTTGGTGAGCAAGGAGGCAGCGGAGTAATCACTTGGCTTACACAAAATAAGCAGCAGAACATTTCCTTCAAATGAATCGATGTTGCCATGATAAAACACTGTTTCACTTGAGCTTTAAAATTATGCAGTTTTTCTTACCTGGTCTCTGGCTACCTATTATTATGATTCTGTATTCAAACAGATCCTATCTGGATATTACCGTGTTTCCCCGAAAGTAAGACCTACCCCGAAAATAAGACCTAGTTCGGTGGTAGGCCTTATATTACAGAAATCCGCTAGGTCTTACTTTCGGGGTAGCTGCACATAAACTGTGTAAAGACCGGCCGCAGCTCCGGCCCCTCCCGCCCACGCCTGCCTGCCGCAGCTCCA